CTGTGGTGGACGGGGGGTGTGGGTGACGGAGGAGGAAGGAAGGATGGGGGTGGTCGGCTATGGTGGACAGGTGTGGGTGATGGAGGAGGAAGAAGGGTTGGAGGTGGTTGGCTATGGCGGACGGGTGTGGGGGAGGGAGGAAAAGAAGGGTTGGGGGTGGTTGGCTATGGTGGACGGGTGTGAGTGATGGAGGAGGAAGAAGGGTCGATGGTAGTTGGCTACGTTGGACGGATTGCGAGTGACGGAGGAAGGAGGGTTGGGGGAGGTCGGCTATGGTGAACGGGTGTGGGTGATGGAGGAGGAAGAAGGGTTGGAGATGGTTGGCTATGGTGGACGAGTGTGGTGGATGGAGGAAGAAGAAAGGTTGGAGGTGGTCGGCTATGATGGAAGGGTGTGGGTGACGGAGGAGGAAGAACGGTTGGAGGTGGTCGGCTATGGTGGACGGGTGTGGGTGATGGAGGAGGAAGAAGGGTCGAGGGTGGTAAGTTATGGTGGACAGGTGTGGGTGACGGAGGAGGAAGGAGGGTTGGGGGTGGTCGGCTATGGTGGACGTGTGTGGGTGATCGAGAGGAAGAAGGGTTGAAGGTGGTTGGCTATGGTGGACGAGTGTGGGGGATGGAGGAAGAAGAAGCGTTGGCGGTGGTTGGCTATGGTGGACGGGTGTGGGGGATGGAGGAAGAAGAAGGGTTGGGGGTGGTTGGCTATGGTGGACGGGTGTGGGTGACGAAGGAGGAAGGAGGGTTGGGGGCGGTCGGCTATGGTGGACGGGTGTGAGTGATGGAGGGAGAAGGGTTGGGGTAGTCCGGCCATGGGGGATGGACGTGAAAGAAGGCCCGTTGGACGTATCCTAACTCCTAGCCCCGTGCCTCCATTTCCTACTTCGGGTGCCTGGCTGCCCCATATCACTTTCGGAAGTCACCGGTCAAATAAAAAATGGGGAAGGGACCGCACTGCAGCCCACACACACACACACACACGCACATACTCCGAACCTCACCGGGTACAGCCAGGGGTAAAGGTGGACTGCACAAGTTGCCGGGAACTGCAAAATTCACACATACCCACACCGAATGTTATTGGGTACAGCAAGGGGTAAACATGGACTGCACAAATTACCGGGGACTGCGGCACTCACACATACACACACCGAATAATACTGGGTATAGCAGGGGGTAAAGATGGACTGCACAAGTTACCGGGGACTGCAGCACTGACACATACACACACCGAATGTTATTGGGTGCAGCAGGGGGGTGAAGCTGGACTGCGCAAGTTACCGGGGGCTGCAGCACTCCCACACATACACACCAAATGTTACTTGGTACAGCAGGGGGGTAAAGATGGACTGCACAAGTTACCGAGGACTGCAGCACTCACGCACAAACACACCGAATGTTACTCGGTACAGTAGGGGGGCTAAAGATGGACTGCACAAGTTACCGGGGACTGCAGCACTCACGCATACACACACCGCATGTTACAGGGTACAACAGGGGGTAAAGATGGACTGCA